GTTATGACCCAGTTGATCGTATCTACTGCACTTATTTCTCCTCCTAATTCCTTCACGACCGTCATCCATACTATTTCTAATTTGTACGGTACGAGGGCGCCCCGCCGACCTTTATACAAAGGAGGTAATATCTGTGGCCCGTCTTGTGTCCAATGTCGACTATCATATGGTTTACGAAAAATACTCTTTGTATGTTTGTTGATAGTTGGAAGTAGAATACCAACCCGTGACGAACTCATAATGTTAAATCCTCGCACCACCCTGTAGATCAGAACAAGCCGCGACAACATGTGAACAAGGAATCCATTGTAGTTATGGTACATTGCACGTGCACGTACATATGTGATCCACTAACATATTAACTTTGTAAGAGTGGTTTTCTCTATGTGATACTCCCTCATTAACCTCCCATTTATTAAAACTATATCTTATGACGTGAAAGGATCGAGCTTTCATAATCCGAGCCGCTAGCATTTCATCAACCTTCGGTGTGAGCTCTGAGCGGATATTTTCACCAAGTACGCAACGTCGAAGAAAAAAGTTATTAAGTCTGTAAAATATTTTAGTAACTAGTGACTATATTGGCATACCGCATGCTCCCCTAAGCATGCCATTGAAACTCTCAGAAGTGTTTGTAGTCATCATACAGAACCGTCTCCTATCATCTTCACATAAATCCCACTTATTAACATTGTGTGGTCCCAAACTAGTTTCGATCCAATCATGTGCGACTCGTGAAATGAACTTAATCCTCTCTTATATTTGATAATAAACTAATTTTTTTGTTACACAGCCGGCTTGCCAATGAAGATCTTGAACCTGACTGTTTCCATACTTCTTCTTGAAGTTGTCCCTAATATGTCGCAGACAATAACAATGTGCATGTGGTGATGGGAAATGACATTGGAGTGCTCTTGGAATTCCTTTCATCCTATCAGATATGAATGTAACCGACCTCGCCCCCATACTAGGGATATGATATCTAATGCATGCAAAAAACCACGCCCTATTCTCTGTGTTTTTAACATCATCCACTGCAAACGCCAAAGAAAACAACCCGCCATCCGCATCAACTCCGGTTACAATAAGAAAAACACCTTTGTACTTACCATATAAGTGGGTGCATCAATGCTAAGAAGAGGGCGACAATATTGGAAAACCTCAATATAAGGGCCAAATGCCAAAATACACTTGTGAACCGTCGTTCTCCACCATCAACAGGGTCTGATGAAACTTCATAGACAGTCCCAAGATTTTCTCTTTTGAGTGCTTCAAGATAATATTATAAGATCTCATAAGATTTGTCCTAATCCCTAAATATTTTTATCATCGCCTTCCTCCTAGCATTCCAACACTTATTGTATGATACATCTAAGTTGGTCACTTTATGCACTAAAAGACGAATATCTTTCGGTCTTAGATCAAGATCCTCCCCTAGATGCGGTAAAATCAACCGATATATAAAAGAAGAGGACACATGCTTATTATTCATCTCCCATCGAGGATTGCTACATGTGTGGAGTCCGTTGTATACCGTGATTTTGAAATGTCCAACATTATCTTCGCCTTCACCATATTTGAGATAAAAACAAACCACATTATAGCTTGTTGTGTTATTTTTTGTTGGCCTAAACTTGACATTTTTGGCAATGGCATACGAGCGAAGCGCATGAATCAATTTCTCCATACTTTCAAAAAGATCCCCCTTCATGAATGAGAAGTCCTCTCCCTGTGTAGCATCACCGCTATTAGTGCAAATAGGAACATTTTCCATCATGAAGTTATCAATCTATTCTTCTGCTTAGAGTTTATCGGGCAGGGCATCCTCTAAGACAATATACTCATTATTAGTACAACATTCATCAATGTGTTGGTTGTCCCCTTCATCACGATCTATCATCGTCATGCTATTAATTTGTAAACCGTCATTTTCATCATCATTCTCGGATTCTTTCATCACGATCTATCATCGTCATGCTATTAATTTGTAAACCGTCATTTTCATCATCATTCTCGGATTCGATACTTGCATTATCTTCTTGATATGCTATTAATTTGTAAACCGTCATTTTCATCATCATTCTCGGATTCGATACTTGCATTATCTTCTTGATAGGCCGTGTTAGTATCGAAAGCATTTGAAGTGCCCACCATCGAAGGACCGCTCATGTATTGTCATTGTGTCCAACCTTCATCTTATTGCAGATATAATAAACAGACAGAGTCAACTTCAAGGTCCTCCAACATGCGGGAGTACATTCCGTTGTTATTCAACGATTTGCCCAAATTCCTCTGATTTTTTTCAATAAACAATTCGACCGAATGCCCCTCGCCGTGTAACACTCCAATGAAACCCATATCATAGTCACTTGATATTTGAATGTCGCTTGTTCTGTTCCCCGTAACAGGATAATTGCAAATAACATTGAGGTGATACTCACGTGAATTGGTTAATGTAAGTTTGTGTAATCCATTAACCAATTCATCGAAAGTACACGATTTTGTTATAGACAACGGTCTCGTCACACCTCCTTTATAAATGAGCATATTATTTTTGAGATATTTAATCTTCCCATCATATGAACAAAAAATTACGGTTCAATCGTTTATCATTACCTCTGAAGAGTAAAAAAATTCATGATCAATATTACACGAAAAAACTTTAAAAAATGTTACTTACCATTAAACCTATCTTATCAATTTTAGAAACCCATAATTTTAACCAAATTCATATATCAATATCAAACATATGTAGTAAAACTAACATTTACATTTTTTGATTATTTTCTCTCTAAATACACAAAATTATTTAAATTTTCTTCATAAAAATAATTCACAAGTAATTTCTAAAATCTAATTTTTTTCCCAAGTAATCATCATGATATAGTGAGAATATACAAGAATTTAGGAGGAATTTTAAAAAAAAGATTTTACCTTAAAATTTTCCTAATTTTCGGTGATCTCCGGCGATGATGGCGGCGAGAACGATCTACTCCGGTGAGGATGATGACCGCCAGCGGCGGGGACTTCGGTGACGGCGATGGGGACCGACGGTGACGGGGTTGGTGACGGTGGGGAACGGTGAAGAGAGCGTTAGGGTGTCGGTTTGGGAACAAATGAGAGAGGATGATGACTTCGGTGAGGATGATGACCGCCGGAGGGGGGAATTCGGCGACAGGCGACGGAGTTGGTGGCAGTGGCGACCGGTGAAGAGAGGTTAGGGTTTTCGGTTTGGGAACGGGTGAGGAGGGTGTGCGGGATGGGTGAATACGGGGCTGGGCCTTAAATAGACGTCTACAACTCCACTGGAGTTGAACTCCCGTGGAGTTGTAGTAAAAAATTTTCCGAGAGTTGACTCTCTGGAAAATGGACTGAAACTGCACGGGAGTTCAACTCCCTGGAGTTTTTGGTATGTTACAAACTTCACGGGAGTTCAAGTCCCGTGAAGTTTGTTTAACCAATAAAACTTCACGGAAGTTGAACTCCCATGAAGTTTTAGCAAATTGTTAAAAACCTACTAAACTTCACGGGAGTTCAACTCCCGTGAAGTTTCGAAATATTTTTTTCAAAAACCGACTTGGTTTCAGTGCCAGGCTGAAACCAGGTCGGTTTTTGAAATTAAGTGCAAAATAGGTCGATTTTTGGTATTAAATGTTGAAAGGGGTTGGTTTTGAAAATTTGTCCATTTTTTATAAGATTGTGCATTTTTCAACTTGTTGGTCAGGTCATAAAACAATTTCTTCTACTATTTTTTTTGGTTTCATTCAAAAACTTGGTATGCTAATTTGGTAAATAGTTTTTGTAAAAGTCCCTCAAGCTCTAAAATATTGATATTAGTCAGTCAATTAATAAATACTTGCAGTTATTCCCTCAAATACTTTAAAATTTTGAAAATTACTTCATCAAACTTAAATTTAGTCTCTTAAATCTTTAGAGGTTTGGAATTACTCCCTTAAATATCCATAATTAGTTGAAAGTACTGCCTAAAATCTCTAAAAATTTTGCAAATTATTAACTTAAATTTAAAACTAGTCCCTCAAAATTTTTTAGTCACTTTGAATTTCCTCCCTCAATTGATCATATTTTGAATTTAGTCTCTCAAATGGGTTTATAAAAACTTAAAATTAGTCTCTCAAAATATTTAAAGATTACGAATTACTCCCTTAAATTAAATGGTCATAATTAGTTGAAATTAGTAGTTCAAATCTTTATAAATTTTGCAAATTACTACCTCATGTTTAAATTTAGCCTCTTGATTTTATTAAACATTTTAAAATTCCTCCTTCAAGTGTTCATATTTTGGAATTAGTCCCTCAAATGGATGATATTCTCATCGCACTTATGTTTGACAATAATTTTGCCCTATTTGGGTGGTAAGTATACAATGGTGGTCACAACCATAGTTTCTTCTTTTTTAGTTTGAACCAAATATTAGAAAATGAGGGAATCAATTCACACATCAACCACTTTCTTGTGTTTTTAAAGTGAACCAAACTAAAAAAAAGTGACGGAAAGTAATTATGCCACATATTTTTTGACGAAGAAAATACAAGAAATGGACAAATTTTGAAAACAGACCCCTTTGTAAAAATATTCCCAAAAAAGATCCGTTTCCACTTTATTTCTGAAAAACGACATAGTTTCAACCTCAGGGCTGAAACTGGGTCGTTTTTTTGCGAAAAGTATTCCCAAACTTCACAGGAGTTGAACTCCCGTGAAGTTTTGTCTTGAAAAAAACTTCACGGAAGTTCAACTCTCGTGAAGTTTGGGAACATTTTTCGCAAAAAACGACCTAGTTTCAGCCTCAGGGCTGAAACTAAGTTGTTTTTTGCGAATATTTTCAAAATAGATTTTTTTGGGAATATTTTTGCAAAGGGGTCTGTTTTAAAATTTTGCCCAATACTTTTTCAAGAACGTGGGGGAAACAACAAAAAGTAAAGAAAAGTGGGCATTTAGAAAATTAAAGAGTTCAGTTTCACTTAGCCTGAAATACATTTTTAAAGAGTACCAAATTCAATATACTCGAGCAAGTAACGACGACGGCTTCTGTGGTGTCAGACTCCAAGAACAAAGTAACAGCGACAAAGCTCCTCTTTTGATCTCTCAATTGAAAGCCCAAACCCTGATTCATCCATCCAAATCCTAAGCCATCGATCGATCCGATGCCAACCTCACCCAAAATCTTCTACTCTCACGCCACCTCCCCTTCCCTCCCCTCTCGCCTCCGCCGCCTCTCCTCGTCCCCCACCTTCTCCATCTTCTGCCTCATCGTCGGCATCCTCGGTTTCCTCTTCGGCTTGATCTCAGTATCAAGACCTCTAATTTCGTCCCGCGGATGCAGCAATTTCAAACCCAGATCCGTTTCGGTCGCATGGGAGGAAGGGAGCGGGGGCGGATCCGCCGGATCTGGATCCGGCAGGGAAAGGCATAAGGTGATGGGGTTCGTCGGGATCCAGACGGGATTTGGATCGACGGGGAGGAGGAGGGCGCTGAGGAAAACCTGGTTCCCTTCGGATCGAGAAGGTCTTGTCCGGTAAGTGAATCGTGTTGAATTTTGAAGTCCTCGTGAGTGGTCCGATGGGTTTGTTTTATTTGTTTGGTGATGAAAGGTTTGAACTTGATTGATTGTGTGTGCATTCACATGTTGAATTTTACTGTTTTGTCGGAAAAGTATAGACGTTTCATTTTGTTTAGATGATTTACCCTGTTCCTTTTATATAGTTTTCTCTATTCAACGTTTTCCGTTGTTATTTGATTTGATTTGTAATGTTGGTAGTAGAATTTTAGTTATTATCAACATGTGAGTGTAATTTTAGTTCCGCTTTATACATGATATGTGAAAAGTTTTATGTTTTTAGAAGTGGAAATACTTCCCAACTTTAAGTTTGGGTACATTCTGTAACTGTTGAAAATGTTTTAGTAATTCTTGGACACGCTTTAGGTATTTCATAAGTTGTTGTAGGTATGCAAAATTGCAATTCGTAGTGTAGTTCTCTAAACTTAATTTTCTAAATTGTAGTTTTATATTGTTAAACTTTGTACATGGTTGGACACTTGTGTCCGAGACACCCGTTTTGACACCAGTGCTGCCATATTCCAAAAATTTGAGGGATGGTTTCAATACTCATTGCGCACTGCATTTGAGGTTTGAGTTTTAGATATTTATAGTGCTAGACCCTGTATCGAGTTTGAGGACTTGATCTCCAAATTGAATACGCGCTCATGTAATCACATATGTGGGTGCATAACCTGCATGAACCTGACTACTTGGCCCAACTACTTACTTGATCGCAGATGCGGAACTCGGCTTCACACATTTATGCGGCCACTATATTGTTTTAGAACCCTGGCTAGCATAGCTTTATGGAAACCTTGATTCAAATCATATGATACTGATATCTATTTGTATTATAAGATATCCTTTATTGTTTTAACTTTGAATTTGAAATAGGCCTAGACTCATCATCTTTCTCTAGATAATTTATCACTTCTTATGTTGAAATATATCCTAAGTTTATGGTTATTATTTTTGATGTTTTCCCAGAAAATATGGTTTTTAGCATATGTACTTATATAGGATATTATGCACGCACCTCAAACTACAATTAGTATAAAGTTAGTGCTTTAACACAATCATAAAATGTGTCTTTGAAGTGCCCAAAAATATTGTAAACTGAAAATTGATGGTAAACTGAGGGTGCATTTGGGATAGTGTCTAACATGCCCAAAGCATTATAGTAAACTGAAAATTGACGATAAACTGAGGGTGGCAATTGGAATAGTGTCTAACATACCCAAAGAATATTGTAAACTGAAAATTGATGATAAACTCTGAGGGTGCATTTGGAACAGTGTCTAGCCTGTGTTCGACAACTCCAACAAGGCAAAAAGTATCAGTTTCCAATGCGGAACAGTGTCTAACCTGTGTTCGACAAGATTATAATAGGCTTACTAGTATTTGTGCTACTGCTTTCTTTTATAACTATGACGGTGTCTTTGCAGTTTGGAAGAATCAACTGGTCTTGCTTTCAGATTTGTGATTGGTAAGACCATTGATAAGTCAAGGATGGCAGCTCTGAAGAGAGAAGTTGAAGAATATGATGATTTCATGCTTTTAGATATCGAGGAAGAGTATGCTAAGCTTCCTATTAAAACGTAAGTAGTTCATAATTTTTTTATAGAGAATATCTGCAGTTTTTAATGGTATTTTGCGACTATGGTAGTTTCACATTCTCATCAAGTCCTCTTATGTAGGTTAGCTTTCTTCAAAGCGGCCTATGCCTTGTATGATTCTGACTTCTATGTTAAAGCCGATGATGATATATATTTGAGGCCAGGTGATTTGTCTTTGGTATATGGTTATTTTCATTTATGAGTTCTTGTATGCTAAATCTATTGATTTCTTTTTTTTGCAGACCGGCTTTCCCTTCTTTTGGCTAAAGAACGTTCTCATCCTCAAACTTACATTGGCTGCATGAAGAAGGGTCCTGTATTTACTGACCCAAAGCTAAAGTGGTTAGTCATTTTCTAGCTGTGAAATGGCTTCTGTAGGTTGTTAGTTTTTGATGCAACTCCTCATGTGAAATTTCATCTGGGTCTAGGCATATATAAATAAAAAAGAGCAGATTGTATGTAGTCCTAAATTAAAGGTAAATAGAAATATATAAACTGTCTCAAAAGGACCAGAAGTTATTTTAGATGGCAAAAATTGTTATTGTGGTTAAAAGAGGTTTAGCTACTTTTTGCATGTAAAGTTTTAGGGACATGCTATTTTATGTGAGCTTATTTAAATGAATATCTCTTATTTAATATATACTTTTAAAGTGCATGTGCTTTGCATGTACATGTATTTATGTTAGCACTTCTATCTTGAAGCCGTACCTGTACCTGACACGTAACCGTACCTGTACTCCTTGGACACTCCTTGCATATGTGTGTACATTTTTTTGGAAATGTACTCAATTAAACAATACATGTTTTAATTTAGAATACTGGTCAAACATTTCCTAGTCATAAATTCTACCCTTCAAATCTACTTCTTGAAACTCGTTGGGTTCCAAAGTATAATTTTAATGATTGGTTGTGTGTCTACTTATATGAATTTAATTCTCATAACATGTGCGTAAAAGTACTGATCTTATGTAAACTATTAATTTTGATATTAATATATGCGTATATAAATATTTATATAGCCGTGTGCCTGTACGCTACCTTTTGCAAATTTACCGTGTCCTGTACCCATGCCCGTACTACCCATACCCATGCTACATAGCTGTAAGGGAATATCTTTATAACCTAGCATAACTTCTCTAGCATTCAACCAGGTAATGCTTCAGTTATCTGCGGCTTCAAATTATGCATATTATTAGTTTCTTATCGGAGTTTCTGAAAGGGTCTAACATTCTCACTTTAACCAGTTGGTGCAGCGTAACATATGAAATAAAGCAGTTGATTTCTTCTTTTCTTTCCTTAAGAAGGTTGAAGCATCTTTGATTATCAATTTTGATTCCTCTGCATTCTTTGATTCAAGTACTTTGACATTATTATGAATTCCATTGGTGCAAATATTCAAAGCCAGAAAATTATGGTGCCAAAAGTTCTTCCAAATTGCACAAAAACCTCCTTGCTGATGATGATATACTTCAGCAAGTTACAGGGTACCTTGATTGCACTATAAATTCTTCCAAATTGCAAAAACCTCCTTGCTGGTGATCATATACTTCAGCAAGTCTCAGAGTGCCTTGATTGCACTATAAATTCTTCCAAGTTGCAAAAACCTCCTTGCTGGTGATCATGTACTTCAGCAACTTTTCAGAGTACCTTGATTGCACTGTTTATTCTACAAGATGGTTCCACGTTTACATTTTTTCACGTGACCTTGTGCTACATCACACTGAGATTTAATCATGGACACGTTCGATGTAACCTTATATTCTTTTCAATTAACTAGAAACATTCCGTTTGATCCTTTGGCTTATATGTGCCTTGGAAATTAATGTGATTTGAGATATTAAACGTTACCTCTTTCTCAAGAGTGCTCTTTTATAGATTGAATTGTTGTTGTTTTTGTTACATTAGCTTGTACTCTATGACAAAGAAAGAACTTTAGGGCATCTGCACATAAATTGACATGGCACCACTGTATGAAGGATTTCATGTGCCTATTCAGTTTTGTAAATGTTGTGCTAGGAGCATGGCACCACTGTATGAAGGATTGCATGTCAAGTTATGGTCAGTATCTTTTGGCCAGATTTTCGTTACCACAGTTTGATGAAATGGAATTTGTCGATGGATGATTAAAAAGAAATTAATTGTTGACTGAAGTACTAATGAAATGATTTTACACTTTTCAGCTTACACGAATAACGTAAGCTGAAATTCAAATTTAAAATATTGACATCTGTTTACTGTAACCTCTCTTAGAGTGTCTCTCTTTAACTAAGACAGAAACCTTTTTTTCCTCTTGCAACCTTTCCCTAAATTTTGAAGACCAATTTCATCTTATCATTTACAGCTATTTTGGCTATTTGAAACAGCCTGCATAAAAGGTAAATAAATTTTGCGGCACAACCTTCAAAAGTATGACACTATCTCCGAGCTTAAAATGGATCTTATTTTTACCAAGGATTTCTATTGCGATTTCTAGTTATTAGTGAGAGATAAACTCGATACAGAAAATAATGCCTCATAGTAGACAAGCTTAAAAATGGAGCTTATATTTACCAATGATTTCTGTGCTATTTTCTAGTTAGTGGCAAGAGATAGTCTGGATAGGAAGTAATGACTCATGGTAAACAATCTAATGTCTCTTACCAGTCTTCAATTTGCATTGGTTTAGTGTTAAATATTTCCTAATCATTACTTGGTATAGGACAAAAATCCGTTATATAAGCATACTGAGCATATGCTAATGAATGAGTGCTCACCTGAAGGAAAGAAAGTACTGCCTCATAGTAAACAACCCAATCTCTTTCAATTTGTAGTCTTTTTGTTGAATTTATCTTAATCATTATTTTGTGATTGGCATAGAAAAAGTTGCATCTGAACACACTAAGCACATGCTAATAAACAGGTGTTCACCTGAAGGAAATGACATATGTAGCTTGCAATATGAATAAGCTTCATGACAGTCACAATCTCTCTCAATCTCATTGGCCTACACTCCAACCTTGGCAGCCTTGTTCAGTCTTGCTTTTCACTTGGGCTTACCTAGAATCCATTTGTCGTTCACCTTCTCATAGACCTCCTCTTATGTATTCATCAATAAATATAATGAGATGAGATGCTCACTTATCATTTTTGTTTGTGGGATTTGTGCAGGTATGAGCCTCTTTCGTATTTACTTGGGAAAGAATATTTTTTGCATGCCTATGGTCCTATCTATGCACTTTCATCTGAGGTTGTCGCAAGCTTAGCTTCCCTAAGAAATAACAGGCAAGTTACCTTTTCTTCTCATGAATAAAGTGTAGTCTTCTACAGCCATGGATTTAGGCGGCAGACTGCAGCTCTTTACCTTTTTTCTAGTCATGCTTATCAATTTCTTTCTTCAATTTTTCTTATGTTTGTTTATTTAAGGTGAACTTTTCACACATGATTTCTCCAGAAAGGGAAACGTCAAAAAGAAATCTGTATACATACTGCCTGTTCAAGGACACCTCACCTCAGCTTACTTGTGTGTGTCCTTCTGCATATTGTAAATAAGCACAAACTCACAATCTATTTAGAGAAAGTGTAGTTTATCAAATCAAATTCTAGAAGTAAATCTATATGCCATGAATAGAAATAATCAAATTAAAAAGCAATTCTAGAATAGTAAAGGAAGCATAGGCTATCAGTCTATTAAAAAAAATATGACCTATCAATTTTATTTTGTTTCTACCAAATACTAATTAATTGATAATTCTAGCATGACCAATTAAAACATAAAAGAAGGCAATTCTAAATCATACTAGCGTCATCTAATCCTAATTATCCTAAAAAATTTAGGTACTCCTAAACTATTAGCAAATAAAGAAACCATGAATAAAAGTAAGAAATTAAACTAATTAAGAAGACGTAAGAAAACTAACTAACTAAAACATGAAACTAAAGCTACCTTAAAAAATGATAAAAATCAAGAATTAAAATGACAAAAATAAAAACTCACATTGAGAGGGCTTGGCCTCTCTTGTAGACTCAAAATTTTCAAGTCTTTATTGTCAGAATAGAAGAAGATTTTTGGAGAGGAATTTTTTTTTTTAATTTTACTGCAAAAACTTAAGTTTTTAGAAATTTAGAAGGCCACAAAAATAGTAGCTCCCCTTCCTAAAATGGGTTACAAAAATTTTCATGACCCTCACCCTCATTTTAAGCCCCCTATTTTATAGCCTTCAGGAACCCTTTACAATTATTGGATCAAACTTGCTCTCTGAGAAAATCAAAATTAACCATTGATCAATTATGTTATCTACTTATTGATGAGCTCATCAATAGGCTTATCGATGAGTCCATTACAGATTCGCCTTCTGAGTTGACTTGTTGACTTTTCTTCATTTGGGATCCTTGGGCTTCATTAGAGCTTCAATTAGGGTCTTTGGGGCTTCTATTGATCTGCAAATAATTTTCATTTGAGCTCCTCTTTATTCAAGCTTTATTTCCTGAAAATTCATTAAAAACACTTTAGTAGTAATTAAATTTATTCAGAAATTAAGTAATGAAGGTATGAAAGATTTTCATTAAAAACACTTTAGTAGTAATTAAATTTATTCAGAAATTAAGTAATGAAGGTATGAAAAAGTGTCATTCAGTACACAAACAAATATTTGTTTTGGTTTAGATCCCAATTGAACCTTAATCTAAACCAATATGTTTAAGCAAATAAAAGTCCAACTCGACATTACAACATTTTAGCCGATTTTCTTTTAAGGTCGAAATGTCATCTGTTATCAAGAAATCATGATATACTGCTCACTTACTGCAAAGAAGGAAAGAATATTGGGTCCATATCGTTTTTTGGCAAGCCTTATAAAAAGATATATCGGCTGGTATATTGGTTATGTAGGGGTATCTAAAACAATGTTGAGGAGGAAGTTCTGCTCTCTAAAATCTCACTCTACTAAGGAGGAACAGTCTGCAAATAAAAACGGGAAGCTGACCCGATAGGCTTCTGTATCGCAGTATGGAGGCAGATAGAGAAGTAAGAATTTTATGCCTTCACAGTGCTTATAGTGCATCATTAATACTTTTGTACGATGCAATGATATGAAGCATACCCCAAGTAATATATGTTTTAGTATATACCAAAGTGGCATGCTAAAATATGTTATGTGGTTATGTTTGCTAATTCCATGTGTATTTTTCTATGTATTGGTTATTTCTTCTAAATATACCTCATGATGACTAAAACTTACTCATTTAATTAAACTTCAGCATAAATATTCTAAAATTTTTAAGCCTATATTATATTTCGAAGCGTAGTTTCCTATGTGACAAAACATATCTTAATTTTATGATTGCAGTAATCGTTTGTTTAGCAATGAGGATGTTACTATTGGAGCTATGATGCTTGCAATGAATGTCAATCATGAAGATAATCGGGCACTTTGTTCTCCTGACTGTACAACATCTTCAATTGCTGTTTGGGACATTCCTAAGTGCTCAGGTTCGTTCAGTTTTCCTCTGTTTTTTATTTTGAACTTCAGTATTACATATGATGAATGTTGCCTATAGGGAGCTTTTATAGTTAATACTTGATTAAATCATGACTTTGAATATGATGGATGTTGAAGCGTGCATGTTATACCTTTCTGAAAAACAATTCTGATATTATCATATTAGAACAGTGTTTTCTTTGACGTACTTTTAGTAAAATCCAAGGCGTCTGGAATAAGAGAATTTCAATTATTCTACTGAGCTAATGCATATTTTATTTGAAATAGCTGAATGATCATGCAATTTATGTAAATGGTTTAGTTCAATCTAACACGTATCGGGTATCTTTTCTTTTTTCTTTTTTCGGCACATATCATAAGCACCTGGAGGGTAATAACAATAGTAGTAGAAACAAGACATTCATGAGAAGAATCTTGATAATTTAGTAATTATTATATGTGCAGCAAATGTTGAATTCTATTGAACTATGCTTTTGACATACAAAACTTTGATTTCTTGGAAGCTCTCCTTTTACATAATGTATGGCGTTATTATTGTTCTTCAAATTGACTTTTCCTTTTTCCAGGGTTATGCAACCCAGAGGCGAAGATGTTAATGCTCCATAAAAGAGAAATTTGTTCGAGCAGTCCTACTTCAGAATCTTCAGATTCTGATCAATAGCCGGTTTTGTTCAGTTCATACTTCTACCAATCAATACCATCCAAGAGAAGCCTGTACCAGGAAACCATCCCCAATCTGGGAACAGTGTGTGACTGAAATTCATTGCTTGCCAGATGCTTATTTATTTGCTATGGATCACATTCTTCTGTATATGTTCATCTTGTCGATTACTTTGAAGTCATATACACAAATTTTGTCAATTTTTTCATTACCCATGCAGACTGCAGATGTCCATTTATTGTTCGATAAAATGGATAAATGCATTACTGAATAATTGAACTTGATAAATTTGTAGCTTAATATACAAAGTTGATTATGAACCAGATTAATACCTAAGATAAAATTCGTATTCAGGTTAACAGATTTTCATTATCAAGTGGATTAGACTGGCTTACTAAAAGCCAATCATGATCACAACTGATCTGCAGAAATCATAACCCGAACGCGATCACAACTTTCTATTTCTTAATTCAGCCTGATCATGAATTAGCATGTTCAAATAATGACTGTAGTGAGTCGGATCAGGTGAGTTCGGAATGGATGGCTAGATTGATCTATCAAATTGATTTTAAAATTCAGATGCTTTATATTTATACGTGCAATCTTTTAGAAAAATATATAACTGAATTGGGTAAAAAAAAGGGAGTAAATCAAAGTATACAAAAATAAAATCCGTCTTGTTCGGTTCTATGCAAGGCCCTATCCAACTAGACATAGTAAAACTTTTTCTTTCTATTGAAGTGAACTTCAATCAGATTTGGAGGTTATTGGTTGAGGATTGTTGATGAGGTTTGTCCAAATAATCAAATTGACATAAAAAGAAAATATAATGTATCTATGGGAAAATTGCATTGAGGTTCATGGGAATGGAAATTCCCATGACTTTTTTTGGGCAATCATGAAAACCGTTGGACCCAAAAAAACCATACATCTAACGTCCTAGTTTATGTGCGTCCACGCCGCTTTTTTAAGAATCTTAAAAATATACTCTTTTTTCCCCTCTTTTTTCGTCTTTTCTCCCGCTTTTGTTTGCCTCTTTTTTCCCATCTTTTCTATCTTCCATGAACCAACAAACCTCTCTCATCTCTCTCCTCTCATATTTTCTCTCGGTTTTTAATTCTTTTTCTCTCTCCCTCTTTTCCCCCCTATTTTCCCTTCTCATCCTTTCTATAACTCATGAACCTCTCTCATCTCTTTCCTTCTATATCATATTTTCTCCTCTTTGTTCACTGTTGTATTTTTCTTCGTCATTGGTTCTCTTCTAATATTGTTGATGTTGCCTCCTCTCCACCATCCCTCCACTTCTTTTTCCTCCACCTCGTCCCTCTATTTATTCTCATTCTTTGACTATCCTTCTGTCCTACAATGACCTCACCTCTTCTTCCTCATTCGTCTCTCCTCCTCTCATGCTTATCTTTTTTCTTCTTCATCATCTATCCTCACTCTCCTCTATCTCCTATTTTTCCTTCGTCGCCTCTCCTCCTCCTACCCCTGTCTCTTTTTCTTCTTCTTTATTGTTTATCTTTCTCTTCATTCTTTCCCTTTCTTCTTTCTATTTACTCTTCTCTTTTTTTAATAGAGTTGACACTCGTCTTAAGCACCATATTCTCTCTTTGTCCATCTATTCCTACTCTTTTGTAGTCTTTTTACCTCATATATGTTGGAAAAAATCAAATAAACTTAAATTAGCATGTAAATTAAATCCGAATAAAAATAAATAATTAAATCTGGCCTGATTGAGAACAGTCGTGTAATCACTACCCTAGAAGATTGAGGACCCGCCTATCACCCTGGCATAGATGATCTCCTCTCCCCTAGTGGTAAAAATCCCCAGAATCGGCTGGCCTCTGTACTCGGGCAAGAGTACAGAGCTTCTGCTCAGATGAAGAAAGTTGCCCAAAAATAAAACCAATACTATGAAGAAATAATATGAAGAGGAGAGAAGAGACTTGTTGTTTTTCTTATCAAAACCGAGCTCAACATACGACTATATATATATATGGTGTTGGAAAGAGATGTTACAAAACCCGCAATTAATACGGTAACGTTCATCATAAATTTTGTAACGTTCCCCATAATTATATAACTGTTACACATATTTTTAATTTCTAATTAAAACATATTTTAATTACAAAAAATTATTACTATTCATGAAGGCAAAATTGTCTTTTCTTAACTAAATATCCAACAGTCCCCCCCCAAAGGTAATATTGACTGAAAACTCAAAAATCAATAAATAAACCAAGAAATCAATAAAACAAATATAGGTTGGGCAACCTTTCATATCGTGAATTCGGGAGGTCGTTTCGTCTTTAAACATTTCCTTAGTGAGTTCATCGCCACCTGAGGGACATAATGGACTAGGCCTTGAATTAGGCCCCTTGTACCAGGCATTGACGAAAACACACACAATATGCTTCATCTATTAAGCAAAGCGGGTTGCGTCAAAGGCCATGCTCACAATAACCGACTCATGAGAGTTTCTAGGGGTTAGCTCAACCCCCCAACCGCGGTCATCACGGTTCCTCTTACGTAGGTAAGTGATGATCACATTTTATTATAATTTTATACCCTCATTATTTATTCTATATGAATAAATATACCACTAATAACTGTTTTTATCTTTAATTACAGATTAATGAAGAATAAATCTCAACTTCTCATCTCTCAACAAAAACCCATTGATTAAATGAAGAAATAATTCAAGAAGCCAAAGTGAAATTTTTTAATTTGTGAAGGCCCAAAGCAAAAAGATTACACAAGGGAAACAAGACCGGATGCAAACAAGATTGGATTCGGTCTGCAGCAAGCCTGTCCAGAGCTTCATTTGATTTATTTGATTTTCGGCCCATTTTCAAGTGATTTCATTTGAAAGCTAAGTCCAATATCAGCAACCGGTTTACTGTAAAAATTCAAAGCTTTAAAACTGCAGCTGCAACCGGCCCAATTCACTCCAGCATCCAATGAAGTCCACAATCCTTAACCGCTTTATTTTACAAAAATCAAATCCGGTTTCCAAAGTCCACAATCAAAGCTGCAGCACAAGTCTTTGGCGCCGAAGTTGTGCTGCATAGTTGAAAATCAATTGAGCTCATTGGGCCGGTGCTTATTGACTTTGAATGGGCTTGAAATCAAATATGGGCCGGTTGCTGAATCACACAAAAAAATCAAATGGGAAGTTCAAGATGGGCCAGACTTGATTTTTATTTTTCACCAGACCTGCTGAAAATTTGATGGGCCGAAGACCTGCGGACTTGAGTGCTTCATTTTCGGTTTTTGAAAATGAAATGGATGATTTACACCGGACTTGGACCTGCTGAAGACCAGCATGTCCGGCCCACAACAATCAACATTTTATTTGAGAAAATCAACCGGCCCAACTTGCATCCATGAAGAAAAATCTGCAGCAAGGTCCGGCCTCCATTTTGATTCACTTGATAAAAAATGCAAATAAGTCCATTTTATTTGATTAAATTCTTAGCCCATGTCCGGTCCCCTAAATCTCCATCTGTAGCAATTCGTAATCTTTTGCATAAAAGCCCAACTCATTTCACTCTTTGCATCCAAGTCCATTCTAATTCTTTGGGCCTTTAAAATTCAATTATTTGAATTTCTCTTATTTCTTCATTTACTCAAGGACCTTTGTTGAGAGATGGGATTTTTAGGATTTATTCTTCATTAACCTGTAATTAAAAAATAAAAGTAATTATTAGTGGTATATTTATTCATATAAAATAGATAATGAGGGTATAAAATTATAATAAAAATATGATTATCAGGAGCTGGTGAAGGTGTCGAAGAGGGAGGAGGGGATCGAGGAGAGGTTCTCTTTGCCGACGAGGAGGTGGGTCTCATCGGGGGAGGGGAAGGGAAGGTGGCGATTGAGAGGTTGGGGGAGGAGGTGAGGACGGTGGCGGCGTTGGCGGTGACGACTTATAGTTGTTTAGTACACTACCTGGCTTGATTTGACTCCCAACTCCATTTACATGTGGACTCTTCTGGTTTTTATACATTTGAGTAGGGGTGATAGCGGATTGGGTACAACTCTTAAATCTTTTAGCACATAAATCTTTTAGCACTCATATCCTTTAGCACTTACATCTTGCCCTGGGCAGCTACCTAGGGCAAACTACACATGGCTACGCCTCTGGATGTCATAGAAACAGTCTCCATATGATATGTCAGCAAGATACATAAAACTTCAGCCACTAGTACAAGCAAACATTGCAAACAGGAATAAAGTATCAAAACCCATAAACACTAGGATATACAATTGATCTCTAAAAAGCTAAATAGTGTTATCAATGCGCGATGTGCAATGTGTGGCACATAGTCCCTTTACGCTCACATGCTCAAGGCACAATGTCATGTGTGCGCTTGAGTGAAGTGAGACACACACCACACATACTCTTTCAAGATAGATTATCAACTATGAAATAACATGCTTATGAATGTTCTGATAGATTTAAATGTGATTAAATCATAGAGATTAAACATTAAGAGCGAAAGCTTATACCTGAATCCATGTACTTGGATTTGAGTTAGGGTTTTGATGATCTTCTAATCTTAGGGTTTCTCCTTTAGAATCTCTTTAGATGGGGATAAGAGAATGAGTGTGGTTAACCCTAGATTAGGGACCATAACACCATATATATAGGTGTTGCAAATTTGTAATTTGGCCCCTCATCAAATTACAATTACAACCTAGTATTTGCATATTTAGCCCATGATTTATTTAAATACTCATTAACCCAAATTGATTGATCAGTTTAAGTGGGTTATCCTTAAGGATAGCAATACACAATAATTAATAATATGTGCCTACAAATAGATTTAATTAGATTTAAATCTAACAATCTCTCACTTGGGCACCATATGATTCCTTAAATTGTGTATAATCTTATGAGCTCAAAATTGCTATCACTGAAAAGAGTATTTCCAAACAATCTCGTCCATTGACTATATCAATATAGGATCAAAGTGGCTTTCATCACATTTATCATGACTCGACCCATCAATGGTCACATATACCAATACAATCAAACGACATAGATCAATCATAGATGTGCAACATGAAAATTACATGCAATGTGATCAGTACATGTATATTTTCAACTGGTCCTACCTTAAACTTTAGTGAGGTCAACCCCAACATTATGTATCAGAGTGTATGAACTTACAAACTTTATTCTGATCAGACAATACAACCTA